GAGAAAGTAATGCCATTTGAAATATATATATTTACATAATCAACTTTGTTGATTTCAGGCCATTCAAAATAGGTTCGCTTGACCGAAAAACAAACAAACAAAAACGACAAGGAGCCAGCAGAGCGAAAAAACACTTCCAAGGGCAGCGAAGCCACTTTCATTTTGCGGTTGAGTAAAGTTTCCAATTTGCACTGAGATATTTAAACTCTAATTAAAATGCAGAAGCGGTGGCCAGGGAGGGGGTCCAAAACGACTAAGTAAGAGAAGCCACGACCACCAGGCTGCACTCATTCTTATTTAGATAAACAACTTTAACTCAATTTGCAGCAGCTGCCCCGAAAAAATATTTACACAGGTCTAATTGAATTTTCAATTAAGACGCGCTGCAAATGCCCGGCAAAAACTTAGGCAAAAAAAAACAAGTACAACCAAAAAAAAAACGAGAAAATGAAAACGAATCCCGAAGCAAGCCAAATGAGGCATACAACAAATATTAAGCATACGCCGTGTGCAACCGCAAAAGTGCCAAAGGGAGAGTAAAATGGAGCGAGGAGCAGCAGGACCTGTAAAGGAAATCCATTAGCCAAAGTGTGCAAATATAAAAGCGAGGGATCTCCGGCTACATAGCTACCTCTTTGGGCCTAGGCGCAAATGAAACCAACGACATGCAAATAAACAACTTTCCCACACACACACACACACACACTCGTACTCCTAGCCTCCAAAAAAAGTATATGTAGTATCCAAAAAAATAGCCAAACAAAAAAAATAAATGGTGCTAGAAAAATGAAAACCCGACGAAGCAAAATGCGCCATCAACAGTCAGATTTGCATGTTGCTGTTGGTGGAAGGGGTTTTGAAGGGGTCCCAGGCAGTGGTGTACAGTGTGAAAGGCATGAAGTTGAGTGGTGCGTTGATGCTGCATTGGTTGTTCAGCTCCAGCTGTTTATAAGTTCTAGCTATATAGATGACATTTTTTAGATAGCCTATAAGATGTGTATTAGTTAGTTAACAAAAATAAAAAAACTAAGAATTTCTCAATATTAAAATTTTACTATAAACAATATTTCAAATTTGGTTCATCTAAAAAATTAACTATAATTTCAAGTAAATATAAATACAAATCCACAAAAAAAGACATTGGGATGGACTATACAGATTTTTTCAGTATGATTTCACCACTCTTTTAGCTATAAACTAGCTAACATCCAAACATCCTTGCCCCGCACACACACATCCTAGCCATAAAAGTTTACAAGTGCGAAATTGCATTTCATGAAAGTGTCCTTGGCTTTACTATGAGAACTCACATTCGTTTTTTTCTCCTTTCGTATTTTGTTTGTTGTTGTTTGACTTTTTGTTGGAGGTGATTCACTCTTTTTTTTGTGCAGCCTTAGTCGCCGCCAACGCTTTTTAAATTCACTTATTCAAATTTCTTTTAGGCGACCACACACGAGGTAGAGATACACACACAGTCGCAGGATGAGGCACATGCATTGTTTGGACATGTCACGTGCATAACGAATTTGTTACCGAAATCTGTTTTTGATTTAGTGAACAGCTTGCACTTTTTCAGCGCTTCTCCTTTACCAGAATTACTTTTTTTTGTGATTTTGCCATTTTTTCGTGTTGATCTGAGAACTTGAAATAAATTGAATTTGTCAGAACTCAGCCTAGCACTGCGCAAAATGTGACCTATTATTGACGATTTGTAGACTATAAGATATTCTTTAGATGGGTTACAATTGAAAGAACAACATTATTACTATCAAAATTAATTAAGAAATCAAATATATCCATTATAAATTTAGTTTGGAATATTTTTTTTTTATATAAAAAATCCATATTTCCTTACTGCTGGTTTTTAAAAATTAATTCATGTAAAGAAATTATCAGTATTCAATATAATTCATCTTTTACTAAAATTTGTTGTTATAAAGAAAACTCTTTTCTTAATGGGTTTTGCGAAAATGGTTAACTGGTAATCAAGAGCTTTTGGGCAACAACTTTTTGCCTTGGTTGCGTTTCGAATCAAATCAGCATTTCTGGCTGGCCTGATTAATGTGCTTGTGTCCAGAAATCAATCAATTCGTCGAACAAAGTTAGCCCACTCGTTTGCTTAGATTTTTATTGCCTTCACCAGAATCTCTCTCTCGGATCTTTAATTTCTGCCTTTTTCTTATATTCCGCAGATTGGAGTGTAAATGTGGCACGAGTGGACCTAATTAACACGTCCATACATCAATCATCTGGCCAGCGAAGGAAGAAGAGTTCAGCGATGCGGATTATTGTGCGTAAATTACTTAGCTGGTACGGCAATTTGTGCGATGGTCAGCGCTGGGTGGAAAAATGGGGGCGAGGAGTCGTGACACGTGACCTTTGCCTTTTGGCTTAAAGCTCGCTTTAAGTTTTTCGCCAACGTCATTGTCGTGGTCTGTCATGTTAAGTTTCCTTTTGCCCGAAAACTTGTTCCCATGCTAAACTGTCAGTTTGCATTTTGTTGCACGCAGCGATGGGTGGCTTTTGGGTGGGGTGGTGGTGGTTGTTCAGGGGGTTGGCGGCTAAATTGCATGGGTACGGCGGGGTGATGGGGTCAGCCCGAAGCTGCTGCTGCGTCGGTTATAAATGACATGACATCAAAGCGTAACAAGCGGCACTAAATCTAAACGATGCACGCACATATACACAGCGCTTGAGAAGGACACACTAGGAAAATCAGAGTTTTACTTTTTAAAAGAAAATTGTTAAATTGTTAAGTAATAATATTTTTATATATGGAGAAAAAAAAAACATTTTCATTTATACATTAATAAAAAACATATAAGAAACTGTTTGCAAAATAATACAATCCAAAAAATGTATTTACATTTCGAATGGTTTCAAAAAATATTTTTATATAAGATCTGTGATTATATTTTTATATATAGAGTTACTTAAAAACTCATTTTAATTAAGTATCTCAGGCTTAATATTATTTTCTAAGTGCAAAGCTTGCACACAAGCACGAATGCCCACTCGCAGACGGACAGCTGTCGAGCTGTTAAGTCTCCGCCGGACAGAAAGGATGAGTCCGCCCCGTTTGTGGGCAAAAAGAGGGTGCGGTCAGGCGCCGATTTTGTGCGGCTGCTTTGGGTTTCGGTTTTAGTGGCTTGTTTTTTTTATCAGCTTTTAAATTGACGTTAAAAGTCCACGGAAATTAAATCAACTTTTTAGCTTTCTCTCCGAAAAGTTATTACTTTTTTGGTGATAAAAATATCTTTAAAATTATAAAATCGTCATTTTTCAACTAGATAAATCTAAATCTCAATAAAACTTTAAAAAAATCTGTTTCAAGTCACAGCGAAAAATTTCAATTTAAACTCTTTGACCCAGTCCCAAAAATAAATGGTGAAACAAAAGCGTAGATGAGAGACGATTCCTGGACAAAAATTGAAATTTTAACGCCATAAAATCAATGAAAATATTTATGCCAATAACCTTTTGCCAGCCAAAAACAAATAATTTCGTGTTTATTTTTATTTTAGCTATCGCGCATAAATTTAATGCCAAGCACTTGAATGAAAAAATACCTTAAATTACGGCCATTTCGTATAAATTGTCAGGTTCGTCTATATATATGAAGTGTGTGTTTAACTTTCTTTTTCTTTCGCTTAACTCGTTTCAGCAGAGAGTTTCGCAAACAAACATTGACGAGCCTGCCTGGAATTTCGGTTTTAAAATTTACATTTCTGTAAGCAGAAAAATTAAGAGTAAAAAATGTAAAAAACATAGAATGTGGAAAAGTGAAAAACAAATCCAATATATGACCAGGTTCAGTCAGTCAATGGTTTGTGCTGAAGAGAAAATCAAATATAGCAAAATAATGAAAGTATTTTCGTAGCCGTATTTGTTTGTTTTTTCGTGTTACATTGTTGGACAAACACTCTATAGCTCACTTTTTTCGACTTTGAATCGGTTTTCAAAGGGTTTTACATTTTACTACATTCACAAAATTGCCAACACAAAAGTTAAATGAAATATAACGATTTAAATTTAAGCTCAAAAAATAGCTTAGTGGGTCTTAATAGTCTTTACAATAAATGAATTATTAAAACAGTTAATGTTGTACACTCAAGAAGAACCTAGGTTTCAATATCTTCAAGAAAGTAGCCTACACGACCTATCCCTAGAATAATTTTCGCCATTGCTGGTACTTGACTTGGGTAATTTAATTTCAGCATTCCTTCAAGTGAAAGTTTTTACACCCAGTTCCGGTTCAAGTTGTGAATTATAACACCATTGTGGAATATATATATTTATATATATAAAGATGATGTATACATTCTTGAGGCTACAAACTTTTTCAACTGGGCAAAAAGTTGAGGCCGTGCTAAGCCATAGTAGTTTAGCCATGGGATTTTTGCACTTCTTGTAGCCAGGAAATGTTTACATATGCGCATAAAGATGCAGCTACATATTTCTACAATCCCCTTTTCCTTTACTATTCCTCGGTCTAAACTTTTCCGACTTTCATGGAAGACATCCAAGTGTCGGAGGGCAGAATGGAACTTTGTTTCATTTCTTATGCTCGTAAATTATGGGCATGGGGCCCAAGGGAAATCTCATTTGCGTTAAGTAGGCAGTTGACAATGCGAAGAAAAGAACCATAATTACATGGGTTATAATACACCGAGTATATATATTACAGTTTAACAACGAAACCAACAGTTTTAGTTTTTACAAAAGTCCCTTTAATTATTCTATAATGAAGTGTTTTTACACCCTTGGCTAATTTCTTTATTTATAAATATTATAGCCATTAGTTTTATGGCTTAAAAGTAATCATATAACCCAAATTTGTATGCAAATTTACCCATCATAAAACATATCCGAATTAACCGCCTAATTTGTACCTTGAGCTTGCTATAGCTTAATGCTATAATTAAATATAAAATTTCAAAGTGTTTATAAAATATGATGACAAATAACCCATGACAATCTCACAACATAGACCAATCAATCAGCAATATTTAATTAGAGCTGCCTAATGTTTTCATTTGGTAAATTTATTTTGTCAGTAACAATTAATTGACCTTTTCATGCATGTTGGGCACAAATGTATAAAAATGAGGGTGTTTCGAAAGCAAAGTCCAAAGACCAGTTTCAGTTGCTAGCCAACGGTAAAAAATAAAACTATTAAATGGGTTCCTGTATATGGATATTTCTAATGATAGCAGCAATTGTCAATGTTCAGGGATACACAAGTAAGTGTTTTATTCTAAAATACTTAACAGGTGCGAAATACTATTCATAAATTACTTAACAGAATATGGACGTGACTGCCGAGATATTTCATGTGCACCTGGCCAACGATGTATTATTGCCAGAGAGCCCTGTACAGGCTCAAATCAAGATGATGGTCCTAAATGCGGAAAGTATCCGACATGTGAAAGAAAGAATAATCTCCCCTCTACTTCAGGTACTTATGTTTTCAATTATTTTAGCTAAAAATAATAAATAAAAATATTAAATTTATATTATTATTTTTAGTTAACTTCTTGGAACGTCGGAAACGGCAGGCTAATCAGCAAGGATACGGAATGGGTGGAAATGGGATGGGCAGAGGCAATGGAATGAACAATGGAAATGGGAATGGGAATGGAATGGGTGGTCAGAATGGAGGTGGTTACGGAATGGGTGGACCAAACGGTAACGGAATGGGAGGTAATGGTAACGGAATGGGCGGAAATAGAAACGGTATGGGTGGTAGTGGGGGAAATGGTAACGGAATGGGCGGCAATGGAATGGGTCCCGGTGGGATGGGCGGCAACGGAATGGGCGGCAATGGAATGGGCGGCAATGGAATGGGTCCCGGTGGGATGAACGGCAACGGAATGGGCGGCAATGGAATGGGTCCCGGTGGGATGGGCGGCAATGGAATGGGTGCCGGTGGGATGGGTGGCAATGGAATGGGTCAAGGTGGAATGGGTGGAAACGGTATGAATGGTGGAAGGGGCGGATATGGAAACGGAATGGGAGGCAATGGAATGAGTCCTGGTGGAATGGGAGGACCGGGAGGTTACAATGGAAGAGGTGGGCAAAATGGAATGGGAGGACCAAATGGGATGGGAGGACCGAACGGAATGGGAGGTCCAAATCGAATGGGAGGACCAAATGCAATGGGTGGACCCCCAGGAATGGGTGGACCACCAGGTGGGCCAAATGGAACGGGACAGGGAAACTGGCAAGGCAATAATAATTCGGGAAACAATAATAATGGCAATGGTAGTAATCGCTAAAAGGGTGGCAACTCTAATCAGAGCTACAGTACTACTTCTGCAACAACGACAGATGGATGGTGATCGAGATAATACCAAAAAAATATGTTCTCAACGTATGACAAATTTTATAAAGTTCTATTGTTTTTTCATTTAAATGAAATAAATCGTGAGTTATGCATTAAAAAGAAAACGTAATATTTTTTTGGTTTTGAATTTTCGAAAGATTATTGCACTTTACGCCCGATGATTTTTTTAGATACTCATTGAATACAACTTGTGTAAAATTTTCCTAAGAATGTATTAATATTCATAGGTAATTATTAACCAGAGAAAAAGGGTGACGAAAAGGGGGTTAAACTTTCCTCAGCTGCTGTCTTTTAGGCAAACAAGTCACGCCACTCGTGAAGGAACAGGGACAGCTGGCTTTCTAATAGATTGCTTTATCCTTTAATTGATTACAAATAAACACAAACAGCGAAAGACAGAGTAAGAGGGGATATAGAGAGCGAGGAAAAGGAATAAAAGGACATTTTTCTGGTCCTTATCCTGACTACGTGCTCGCTCTTGGCTCGCGTGCATTTCCATATTTGTTTAGGCGTAGCCAAAAATAAAAGGGTGACCTGCGTGACCCTGACCTTTGGCTCGTGACACCCCGATTCTAAATCCTGACCCACCCCAAAGTCCTTTCGGTTTTCTTTTTCTGTTTGACCAGGTGCACCACAAAAAAACAACAAAAAACTTAAAACTACATAAATCTTTATTAGCTTTGCCAGCTAGTTTGGTGGAAAAAGAGGAAAGTTGAGTGGCAATCAATTAAACAATGTCACTTGCTGGCCACACTTGCAACACTACATTTACATGACAGAGAAAGGGGGAGCAAAGAGGGAAGAAATTTCAGAAAATCTAGTTCCTAATGATGATATTTTCTCTCTAAGAAAAATCCTCGCCATTTTCTACCAGCCTTTTAACCCATTGAAGTTTTGAAAAACAGCATTTGAAAAAATCTTCAAGCTAACATTTTTTTTTTTTTTAATATTAGTTACAGACTTGTAATTTGAATATTAGTTTATGTAATTAATTTAAATTTTTTTAAACGTTTTTTGAATAAGTATAAGTATTAAATAAATACATCGGTTGAATTAAATTAAATTACCCTTATTCTTGTATTTTTAATACAAGAAATCAATATAATTTAAGTCTTATATTTCTTGCCTCTGCATTTTGTTTAAAGTTTAAAAAGTCAATTCAATAAACCACAGCGAAAGTGGTTTTAACAAGCCTCGAGTTACGATGATTGATGTATCAATAAAGTGGCTACCAGAATTGCTTCTTATAGTATATCGCGTATCCCATTCGTTAAACCATCTAAGCAGTTTTGTTGTCTCCTCTCCCAAAAAATCCATTGCCATTCAATTTTCAAGGCTGCTGCCATGGGTTAACAGTGGCCATCGCCAGGCAATCCATTTATTCGTCGGCAGAGGATGTGCATGGTGTTTGGTGCTCAGTGTTCGGTGCTCTGGGTGCCAGCGTTGGGCCATTTTATAATTTATCAAAATGAAAATTGATGCCCCTGCGAAGCCAGTGCAGCTCAATCCCCATTTTCCCCGGGACAAAACCCATTCCTCCAGAGGTTTCCTTGCGTGCTGCACTTGCAACGTGAGATGATGGAATGAGGACTGTGGACTGCAGACTGTGGAGAAAAGAGGAGACGGGGAATGCCGCATGCCACACGAAATGCCATCGCAAATAGCGAAAATGCTTTCGCAAATATTTAGCCGAACTTTTTTAGCGACACGCGTTCAGGTCGAGGTCCATGTCTCAGTCTGAGGAGTGTACAGCTGCTTTAAGGCAGCTCCTTTTCCTTGGCCTCTCTTTCTGACCAGCTTCTGTTTTTCTTAATACCCTCTGTTTATGGGGTTTTGGATTTAAAAGTAAGAACTATTTGGAAGAAAATTAGGAAAAGCGATTTTTCAGCAAACAGACTTAAAAGTCAAAAAAGCTTAAGGAAACCCAATCATGATTGGTTGTCTGGTGGGATAAATAAATATAAAAACGTTGGTAAGCAAATAAAAAACGAGGGAAATCATATAATTACCTTATTTGTATTAAGACTTTTTAATATAAAACCAATTAAAGCCAGTTAAAATTTTCTAGTATAAAGTCTAGGTATCATTTTTCTTATACCTCTCCATTTGACGTTGGTCCTGCAATATATATCTATAATTGTTTTTTTTTTTTTTCCAGTAGCATTTATGCCAGTTAAGTTGTTGGCCAGTTCGTGACTGCTGGCGGCCTTTATTTGCGCTTGCATTTTCATTTGTGAGTGTAAATAGCATTAAAAATAATTTTCCGGCTTAAAAACGCTCCACACGAACGGAGCAGACAAAAGTGTAAAAGAAGGGAAGAATGACGGACAAAAGAGGAGCAAGGAGCAGCGCTGAAAGCCGGACGGGCTTATGCACTTAATGAAATGTACACGGCAATTGTTACGGAGACCAAGGCGGAGACGTTGATGGCAGCGAGGAAGCCAGAGAACCGGAGAATCGAGTGCCGGAGATGGAGAAACGGACGGAGACAAAGATGCTGCGGCCATCAATTGCAGCCAACTTAAATTTCACTTCGGCCATCATTTCTGGCCAAATGGCAAGTTCGCATTAAATGGCTTCACGGGGTTAAGGATGCTGCCAGCGGGTTAAGCCATCCATGTTGTTTGTCCAATTTAAGTGTTTTTCGGTTTAAATGCATTTAAAAGCCTTCAGCAAAGGATCAACAATTAAATGTCCTGCAAATAGCAGGCTTCGTAAAGGTGGAAGAGTTAAGGAAAATTTTCTTAATGGTAATTGTATTTAATAAATTGTCAATATTGAAATAAGTCCACAAGTGCTACGGAATAATTCAACAAATATTATTGACATATTTAAAGAGGACTATTTACGTTCCCAACTCTACTTGACCTTATCGTTTTAGTTTTATTTACATCTTTACTCAGCTTTGCCGCCTTTATTCATTTCACTCTCTCAAAGTATTCGCAAATAAATCTAATTGAAATCTATTCAATGATAACATGTCCCCTATAAATATTCATGACATTTAACCCAAACTCCTTCCGGTCTTGTGTTGTCCTTTCATTTGCAAACGAATTGACCGAAGCTTAATAATAATAAAACTGAATTGCTACGACATTTAATGGCTAAATTAAACATTTTGCATAATTATTTGAAGTGATTTTGCAGGTGTAATATTCGTGGAATTATCTTAAAGGCGAGATAGCAGATTCCGGAACAATTGAAATGGCCAAAACATTAAATCAAAACGAAGGCGATTGGCCGGAAGGAAAATTCTTCGTCTGCTTGGACTGTCAAAAGGAATTTTCAATTACGAAACAAAATGCCAAAATAAGTTATTAGGCAAACTTTGGCTTTGTATCCTTTGTATCTCGGGCTAGGCCCAGTGGTAATTACAGTCAGGTCTTGGAGTAATTAAATATTCCCCAGTCCAATGGCCTTACGAAGGTGAAGTGCCAATAATAGGGCAACTGAAGGTGAGTGGGCTAATCAAATCAGCATCACAACAATTAGCCAGGCCAAAAGTATCTCCCAATTTCCTAAGTAGACGGGGCTAAAACTTGTTAGAGGACATTTTGTTAATAAGTTGACGAACTTGTTCGACAAGTTAATAATAGCTATAAACTTGTTAGTTATAATTATTTATTCTTTAAATTAAATAAAATTTAGATACTAATTGAATCAGAGTATTGTCCAAATTTAACTTCAAATTTTTTCATTTAACGCGACCAAACTAAAGGCTGGTATGTGATTGTTGCTAATCACTTTTTCTTAGGCTGAGCTAGAGTTTCGGTACCAGATTTGCAAATACGAGCTTCTTCCGATTTTAAGCTAGACTTTAGAGGTGTCGTGCCATCCTGTAAGGTTGTTCGCACACTCAGATTGAGGGAAGTGTTCGGGACTCGTACATCCGGAATAACTTCCTCACCGTTGACCGACGGTAATTTTTGTAAGTGACTTAAAGAAGCTAGATCTTCTGGTGGATTATAGATCTCTGCCTGAAGTTTTTGGTAACAATGATGGCTTGGCGAAAATCCGGGTTCGAGCTCAATGTTTTCTGATGTCTTCTCATCATATTGACTGGCAGAATAAGAGGATCTAAACGGTGTGAAGTTACTTGCCTCGACTTCTGGAGTATTTTCACAACAAACCTCCTCAGCCTTAGTTACTTTTTCACTATGGAAACTATACTCTGAGGTGGTTGAATAGACAAATTCCTCGGCTATAAGCCGACGAGCCAATGGAACTGAGAAGAACTCTTTGTAGTGTTGCTTTCGACGCTTCTCGAACTCCATCCTCCTAGCCTTCTCCTCCAAAGATTCGGGAAAGTCTTCATCCGCCGAAGAATCATCAGAGTCTCCTTCTATTCCAAACGCCGGCATTTCCCAATTCGATGTATGTCGCAACTTTTCGATCAGAGTATTAGCATCCAGCTCCTTTGGCAAATCATCCTCGAATACAAATGGTGTCTTCGGTTCATCGATGACCATGTGACCGTAGTCCTTGTCAGCAGGATGAAAAGTGGCCAGTATGTTTAACTCATCAAATTTGGCCGCCTTCAGACTCAATTGGGCGCTATTTGTCCCCGACTTCAGGATACTCTTTACATATTCAGAGTCCATAGTTTAAGTTTTAGCTAGAAAAGTATTTTTTGTAGGAGCTTAAATAGCTTTAGAGCTACGTGTGAACTTGTGCTTGTGCTATTCAACTGACGATTTCCATTACGTTTTATATAGAGGTAAAATTCAATGGCTACTTTTCTAATATATTATACAATAATCATTACATTGCTTTCACTACTTCATATAAATCTTATTAAAGACTTCTTTAAAGTTAATGATAAGTTCGGCCACGACGAATGTTAATTAATTAAAAATAGTTCCCTGCTTCTACACACCTTAAACCACGTATAATAACAATTATCCAAGCAAACAGAGTCACTTTCACAAAACATAAAGTGAACCGTGGTTCCTCTATCACTATCCCTGAACAATCTTTTCTGCCATTCCAACTGTTGTTTTTGGGTTGAGGATGTCAAGAGCTCGATGTACTCGTTGTATAGATGAATGTATTCGGTACTCAAAACCCGATACTTCGTACTCTACAAGAGCAGTTTGCAATCGCAGCCATCAAAACCACAAAGTAAACTCATTTCGACGTGTTCAGAAGGGTGGGGGAGGTTTTCCTGTTGGTGAATGGAAAGATGTAGGATGTAGGGAGTTGTGTCATAGCATCTCTTCATTATTGATGCTCCATAGTGGAGTTTTTGTTATTGATGTAAACATATTCATCACAAACATGTTACCTCCGATACAGGAGGTAAAAAGGGGGGCGGTAAATCAAGAGTTGATAAGAGAGCGAGGGGCAACCAATGCAGTTGTGGCAGTTGCAGTTGGCTCTGTGGCAGCTGCCATTTCAAAACACTTCACTGCACACCATTTTTCCCTGCTTTCCCTGACTTTTCCGGGATGGGAGCACAGGGAATGCAATATATAAGGCAGGGGGCCAGGGGTCACAGAGCGCTGTATTGAGAATTGATTGCTGCACATTATTTCACAATTTTGCCAGCAAATAAACAAGCCTTTTGAAAGAGTGCATTCAGACACGAGCCCAGACACAGGCAGAAATAATTTAGTTAACAGAATTGTTTCAAAATAGATTACATAATATTAATAAAAAATTTAGTATGGATTGCTTTACTCCCAAGAAGTACTTGGACTGAGGAAAAATAATATATAATATCAAGATTACCATTCTTTTCAGTCAGCACATACAATTATCACACTGAATGATCTATTGTCATTAATACATTTTTTATTACATTTAACAGTCCTGTATTCTTTTCATAATCAATATATTCAATAGCATATAAAAATTCTATACAAAATTTCTTACTGTGTACACCCCATGATACTCTGGCATGCATATGACGAGAGTCTGCTTATAAGCTCAGTGGATGCGACAAAACAGCGCCATAAAAGTGACGATGACGAGAACGTATCCTCATTGCTCTCCTCCGCTTGTTCCTATAGTCAATGATGATGTTTCCATGTCGCCCCGTTGTGAGGTGATGATGAATATCATCATGATCATCATCGTGTTGAAGATACAGAGGATGCCGGCAAACAGTCAACAACTGTTTTCCAGCTGCAGTTTTCCTGCCATGTTTGATTGCCTCTCCGACGGACACGAGATGCGATGTTGATGCGGCTAGGAAATTTTTCCTTCGATTTACGAAATTGCAGTTGGCCCGATTGCATTTCTTATGTGCATCAATCGCAACAATGTGCAATGCGAGCAGGATGTGTGCATTGCGTATCCGCAACTGTGTATCTGTGTCTGAGTATCTGAGTGTCTGAGTATCTGAGTATCTGAGTAACCATATCCGCAGTTGGGTGTGTGTGCCGCTTCTACGTGCAACATGCTACATATGCACATAAGTAACAGCCGTGAGGTGAGAGAATCGAACGGGACATGGAGGTTTCCTTCCACATATCAACAGGATTTTATGGCAAAATCATAAATTTCCCTCGGCTCATTCGGATCCCGTCTTCCGCAATGCAATGGAACATCCGTTTCCGCAAGAAGTTGCATCAGAACACCCCACACATTTCAAGAAAAATAGGAGGCTTGGCCCTTGCAATACAGTGAACTACAAGAAGTCAAACCTTCTGAATCAAATTTTTTACATAACTTTGAAGTTCATTCCCTCGGGTACACCATGTTTTTAATTTACCTTAACACTTGTCTCTTTGCAAGATATAACTTAATTCATTTTCGCATTTTCACATTTAAAATAGTATCCTTTGACTGTCCGTACGATGAGACCTCCCACTGTATTCCAATTGGAACAGCAAACGGTTATGCATATTTATTAAAAACTGTCTGCTGCGATTAAAAGCCAATCAGACCAATTGCAAATTCCTTTTATTGCCCTACCATCCCTCCTCCTGGTCCTTCATTTCTGTTTTCCCATCCTTCCCCCTGCACGGCCTGTAGTTTATAAATATTTAAAATTTAATTTTTGCATTTCCACATACATACAGCCCAATGCCTATCTCTTTTTCTCCCACCCACTGTTTGAATGTTGGTTTACGTTTTTTTTTGTACCCCTTAATTTGGAGAGGGATTGGGGCATATGGAATTTGCTTAAAATAACATATTTATCACTATAGAACAAGTTTATTTAAAACTTTTATAAATAAAATCGTTCACTTTATAATTAAATTTTTACATTTTAAAAATTAAAACCTATTTTTTTCAATAAAGACAAATTTACTACACTTTTTTTTTATTTTTAAATCATCTTACGATTAATAGATAACAATTAATAGTAGAGAAATTTTGTATACATTTTTGAAGTAAGATTAAAATGAGTGTTTCCCTCTACGATGCAATCGAAGCGTGAAACGTTCCAAAAGGCAAACATGTTAAGCGTAACCGTACCGCGTTTCCTTTTTGGCCATCTCAGTGCCGCCGACTGCACCACCCATTGCCCCGTGCACAAAATGTAACCCCCTGCACCACCCACAGCATCCACCCCCTCGGAATTTGCAGCCAAAACCAAACCAATACCTGGATCACCTGCAATCCTCTTGTGTTTGCCTGTCTGCGAGTATGTGTATGTATGCTGGCAGTTAGCTAGAGCTTGACAGCTTGGCAAACAGTTAAATAAAGTTGGCATCTCTCTACCAAAATCCTCCCCAAAGCCACCCACCTCTGCTTTTGAGTGTGTGTTAGCCTGATTATTATACACTACACGTTGGAGCGAGTGTTTTCCATTTGGTTATCAAGTTTGTTTGGAATTCAAATTGACTTCACTAGAGAGGGCGGCCAATGTTTTGTTTAGCTAAACTTCGGTGACTCAAATGAATTATAATTATTCTCGGCGGCAAAGGAAAAATGAAGGAAATGGTTGAGGTGTCAAGAATTAAATATATAAATTATTAATAAAATTTTATATACTTTGCCTAAATAGTACCATTTACAATCTTAAAAATTGTTGCTTCACTTTTTATGTACTTAATCCAGTTAATACCTCTTACTTGCTAACTTAATTAGATTTTTGCCAAATTTGACAGCGTACAGATGTTGTTGATTTTAACATAGTTACCACTCATGCTAAACCGAAATTCAATTAAAATGGAGTAAACAAGAACATAGAAGCCAACAGCGATTGATGAGCTATAGCTCAATGAACTATATTGCAAAAAGTAATTTAATTAACAGCTGCTAAAAGAAATATAAACGAAAATATAGGGGTCAAAATTTGCTAAGACACCTAAGAAATAGAAACTATAAATAGTGGCATAAATATAATATATTTATAATAAACGTGTTCAAAATTGTTCCCCGCTATCTTTAATAATTTCATAATGTTTCAACACTCCTTCAGTCTGATCTCCTTGTGGAACTGGCCAACCAACTCAATTATCAGCGACTTCTCGGCAAAATTACATTTTCATGACAACGATACAATGGGCCAGCTAATGAATATGAATTACACGAGTTCTGCTCCTTTTCGCCCCGGTCCCTGCTCCTGGATTTGTTTGTCCAAAGACCAAACACGAAGGCAGAAGTGACAAGAGCAGCAACAAACAAAGACACAAACAAACAACAAGCCGAACAAGACAACTGCAAACAAACATTGAGCTGATTGTGCGACAAACAGAGAGGGAGTTAGATTCAGCCAGAAAGAGAAGTCCAGAGACTTACCCACTTATGTGAGGCAGGAAAACTTATGCGACAAAGTTTCACCTACCTACTTCCATAGTCGGCTGTCTTTTCACATAAACTTGGTAGTAGTTACAGCGAGTTACTCGACTGTCTTTTCACCCTACACACACACATTTGCGTTTTGTCCTCGAACCAAAAGCAAACTTCATGGGACAAAACTCACATAAATTACGCGCACAAGCAGAAGTCACCAAATGTCAAATGCACTAAAAGCAACAAAAATTGGAATACGCACAGCAAAAAACAAAAACCCAAATTGCAGCCAAGCTGCAGATGAAAAGGAATATGCACAGTGCACTATCAAAAAAAAAAAACAACCATTTTTTGGAAATACACTGAGAGAAAAGTTTGGGTGTTATTTACGGTAGTCCATTAATAGCTGTGTCTAAAAGTATGCAGTACTAAACGTCTCAAATAGGTTTTTATATATGAAATTCTTATATAAAATATATATTTTAAACAAAATATAGAAAATATCTAAATACTATTTAAACTTTATATACATTTTTAATTCTTATAGCTCCCCAAAAAAAAAAAAAAACTGCTCAATAAAAGAAAATAGAAAAAAAAAACCCCTTAAGGTCGAGTCATCGTCATCAGCCAAGGTCTAGGCGAACTTTCCGCGAAAGGAAATGCGGCCAATTTGTAGACGCTGCACTTCTCTCCCCCTTTGGGGACCACCACTTTCCCCCTTCTCCCTTTTTACCATCGCAGCCTTCGAAACTGACAGTCGCCGTGGGCGTTGCAAAACTGAATAGAAAAAGGGCAGCGAAAAAAGGAGAAAAAAACATGGCCAACCAAAAAGCGAATCATCACGCAACAATAAAAAACGTTAACTATGATTTATGACTGAGAGGGGCACGCAATGGTTTCACTTCTTTTTACCCAGTGTAGCTATTTGGCTCTTTTTGTAATGGAAAGTTTGGCATTGTCTGCTAATTAAATTATTGCAAATATTTTTTGAGAGTCATTGTGACTTCCAAA